GTATTTTTAGGTCCAATATGATGATGTGCTCAAATCCGGCGATTTTAGATAAGAGATAACAGTGAGACCTCTGGCACTTTATAACCCTCCGGTGCCAGACTTTACACAAGCCCTGCAACAGTATATTGTAGAGCCTAGGATTAGGCCTTATCGCTAGAACACAGTGTAGTCTTTAACTCCTAACTGAAGGAGAAACACCACACGATGCACCCCACATGTTGAGATGCATAAAAGCCCACATGTCGTTAGCAATGTGCACCTCTGCAAACTACCGTTGATCCATCAGTGTCACCTCTAGAAAACAACTATTCAGAGTTACAATAAAGGGCACTTCGAAAAAAATCTTCATATAGCCCTAAATGTAAATTCTTCATTTGACCAACAAGTCAAAAAGAATAAGTCAACTTATAATTTACTGTGAAAAACCGTGATTTGACATGTCCAGAATTCTGTGACGCTTCAAAATGTATATATAATTCATCTTTTTGACCACTAGATGGCCACAAAATACAATAAAGATTTGTTTAATTTGAAATTGTTAATTTAATTTTTTTTCTGCCACTAGCAGGTATCTAGCTAAATTGCAAAAACAATAAATGTTTTCAAACGATCCATCTTTGTTTAGATAAATAAAGTCCAAAAAGCCTACGCAAAACATTGTAAGTTGTTTAAGAATTACATATACAGTAAATGCCAGAAAACTGTGCAGTAGTTCTACTTCAAGTTGCATCTGGCAAAAAAACTTACTGTTAAGTAATAACTATCTAAGATTGTTTGTGTTGCATGCTGCAATGCTTTTTATTGTTCGTTAACGGGAGAATATTTATGTAATTCATGGACCAATTGGTGGAATGAATGGAGAGTTGAGCTCTCTTGGGATCTCGCCAGTAAAACACTAGAACAGAAGCTGTCATGCCTTTCACTAGAGCCTTGATGATACTCTGAGGGAGGCTGAAACAGAATTAATATCAGCTGTTAAAAGAGAAGAGAGAGAGAGAGAGAGAGAGAGAGAGAAAGAAGCTTTGCTGTTTCAAGGCCAAATTTTGATCTGCTGCATATTGTCAGCTTAAATCGGTTTAATCTTTTCAAATGCCTGCTCTAAAAGACTAGAAAGGACTTTGGGTTACAAATAAGCACCTGAACCTCCCAGTGCTTTGTAGTAATAATATGTTTCAATTTACTCATTACAGTAATCGGTTTAGAATGTGTGTCACTTTAAAATGTATTGACTTTAATCCTCCTCCAACTCCTGAGGCTAATTTTGAAATAACAAACAAATGCAGTATATGAAGTATATGGAAGCTTATTTTCGCAAGGGGAAAAAAAAAAAGGTAACTGTGACCTTTTATCTTACAATTCAGTATTTTTTCAGAATTGTTTATAATTTGCAATTTAAAAAAAAAAAATTGTGGGACTGTGATTTTAAACGTCGCACTTTACCTTTTTTATTCCATGGTAGAAACCAAAAATAGAATTGTGAGATATAAAGTCAGAATTGTGAGAAAAGAAGTTAGAATTGTGAGATAAAATGTTTCTGTAGTGGAAATAAGCTTAGAAACTTAGAAGTAAGTAATTTTGAATGTTTTCAAACATTTTTCCAAAACACTCCCACTGCCTGCAATTGGTCAGTAAACAGATAGTCCAGTCTCCAAACTTGCACTATTGTTGGTGTGGCTGGATTGCAATTAGGGATGCACCGAATATTCGGCAACCGAAATTATTCGGCCGAAAATAGCAAAAAAATCTCTTTCATTGTTCGGCCGAATAAGCGAAAAGGCCATATAATATGTACCGAACAATGACGAACGCGATTAAATAGATACGCGCGATAATGCAGCAAACATCGGCAGTATTTACAACTATCAGAGAAAGACGCAGGAATCATTACAAGCACGAAGCACCGACAGCGAGAGACTGTTTAGTGCTGCATCAAATGTCTGTGATGAGAAGATGAGGTGGCTAATGCTGGTGGTTACTGTATGATGATTGAAATCGCGAAATTACCTCAAATGATTAGTAAATAAACTGCAGAATGTTATATTTTCTAATGCACGCACAAATTGCATGTATTCTGTCATACATGCATACATGCATTTAATTTTTGTGAATTTTTTTAAAGGCATGTGTCAATGTGATACGTGCGACAAACATCTTCCCAAATTCGTAATGAGAATCATTTATAAATCTGCATGCTGTTGTCAACAAAAAGAAGCACTGAGATCTTCCTGCGGGTTTCTGCCAAAATAAAAGCCGAGCAAAAGCAACAACTCCATCGACATTCATAAATGATAGTATTGTCATTTTACTGTTGTTCTGTAAAATAAAATAGAAATGTAAGACAATAATAAAGATAATAATAATTACCCTACAACAGCTCTATTAATACATTTATTATAACATTCACACATAGTGTTCAAATTGGCATCTGTAATATATTCTAATGTTTTAAAAGAATTCCCTTCTGCTCAGTAAGGCTGCCTTTATTTGTACAGTAAAAAATACATGCCTGATTCAAGTCTCAAAAATGGCCAAAAAATATTATTTTACTAACTTATTAATTTTAAGTTAAATTGTGCTTTGTTGGTATAATGTCTGCTAGAATGTTAAAAAAATGTTCAGTGTTAAGTAAATATTTTTAAATTGTTGTTTTTTAATTGATTTTTTTATTTGAAAAGCAGGACAAAACAGTAATAAGCACATTTTGGCAATTTAATTAATGCAATGGTGAAAAAAAATAGCAAAATAGGCCTACAGGGGGGAAAAATGTGAAAAACTGTGTTCGGTATTCGGCCTTCGGCCCAGTGTTTCATTTTGTTTCGACCAAGAATTTTCATTTCGGTGCATCCCTAATTGCAATAGAGCAACATTTTGACTTTATGGCGGACTCAACATATTAATGGCTTAAAATGCTTTCAATTAATCCAAATATGCAGAAACATTTATACGATTATTCTAATGTCAAACATTGCATCAAAGAATCTTGGATTTGCATTTTACAGCTATTGCATAACGACTCCGTTTCATCACTTGGGATTTGATATAATTAAACTATTTCTGGCTTATGATTTGGCTGGGCATCAAATCTGCTTTTTTTGTCTAATTGCCGGTCTTGTGACATACGTGTGAAAGCAGACGGGCAAGTGTGAACGTGAAGCACCAACGGTAATGGAGAAAATAAACTGTGCCAAACGATACTGTCTAGTCCCATGAGCACAATTAACTTTATGAACAGGCAGACACCGCTGCAAAGTTTCTGTTATCATCAACAAGGCCAATTAAAAATAGATTCTCCATGGGTGGCACTCAGCAGGGAGCTCTACTGCACCACAGCACAACGTTCACACACCTCTTTGTGACCGAGACACATTCTGCCATTGAGATTAATAGATGCAGAAGGGCAGCTACTATATCACAACAGTTTATCAGGAATTTTGATATATAGAAGTGTCTATCTGCAGTTAGAAATCTAGAAAACAAAAGATAGCCTTAATACTTATCATGCATGTTAGTAATTATTATCAGTAAGTGTGCTGATGATAAAATAACAGCTTTTGAAAACTAGATCCTGCCCTCTATCAGTAAATTTTGTGAGGGTCACTGAGCTGTTCTGGGAAAAGATGGGACGTATCAATGTGTAATTTCATATGTGATTTAACCCTGCTGGAGGCTCATCCATTATCACAGCGCAGCAACATGACAATCTTTTGTTACCAACAACACCAATGTAGTGTACAAAAATAGATGCATCCATAACAACAGACAAACGAACCATATACCAGGCTGTAAATGCAGGACTCATAATAATATATAGGACATGGTACCCGTTTGAGTAAATGCCTCTAAATGAGAAGATAATGAAACTGCTGTGTCTCCTAGGCAACTTTAACCGCCTTTAACTTAGTATGTTGCAATTAAATGATCACAAATGTCACAGTATCTGTTCTGCTCATCCTACCCAGGGAATGGTAAAATTAATTAAAAATGAAAGGGGAAAAGAAATAAAAATGTTAATGACTTAAGAAAATTCACTTTTTTTAAAAACATTTTTAATTTATTTATTTTTTAAATATTTTAATTGTAGTCTATTTGTGTTTGGAAATAATAACTTTGAAAAGGTGCTGCTTAGCCCACTGTAACTTTACATTAGCTTTTTTATGTGCATTATTTTACACCCATGAAGCATCATTACTGGAGATATGAATCATTTACATACAAATTCATTAAGTACAACTGCAATAATCCCTGCTGGAAAATCCAGTTTAAGCTGTTTTGAAACTGTTTCCAGCTGGTCTAAGCCGGTCATTAGCTGGTTGACCAGCAATCATGTTCAAAAAAACAATTTGATTGACTTAACCTAGTATGACCAACTGGTAGCCGGTTTGTTGATGCGTAAGTCTAATATGGTGCATGGACCACCGAATGACCACCTTTGACCAGTTAAAAGCCAGCTATAATAGAAACGATTTCATTTTACTACATCAAATCCAAGGTCATGGTGATTTCAGACGCATATAGGCTACACCAGAAATAAATAATGAAGTCAAATAATAATTAAACGTCTACAGTTCAGTTCTAGCATAACCTTATCTCTAAACCTCGTTGCAAAGAATGCAACAGCCTCTTTTCAACATGTAAACCAGCCAAATGCAAAAAAAAAATCATTAATATTCAATACGTGAATTTAAATAAAGACAAGAATTCTGTTTATATAGTTAATTTCTTCATGTGTCAGACGCGTAGGGAATATTGCATGATCACTGTGCATATGAACTGGCAGATGACACTCGAATAGGAACAATAGATTTTTTCCTACGACAACTGGGATTGTTTAACTACATGCATACTCATTCAAAGCACGTGGTTCATTCATTTAGTTATTGTGCTGTCATTTGAACGGACAGCTGTAATGCATCAGTGAGCATCTGGATAGAGCAGCGCACATAGAGAAGTTCAAAGCGCGCAGTGATGATCTCCACATACGCGTCGGACACATCTCTAACCTTCAGTCTTTCTTGAGACAGTCCTGCAGCAGAGCTTTTACTCACTCCGAACATGAAGCAACTCCTCGAAGCAGAGTTATCCGGGAGAACACTCCGAATCAGTACCAACAGAGGCTATCCGCGAGGGGAACTCCGCGTATTGAGACCATCTTCGTCGTGATTCTCCTTTTCTCTGACACTGAGTCCAGCGTGAGCGAGCATCACTACCTCGCGCGCCGCTGACATCACACGAGAGCGCGCATAGCCAAACGCTGCCCGTCATAGTTATACTTTAGACACAGAAAAGTGTTTATTTATAGTTGCACTTTAGACACAGAAAAGTTATATAATTGTATGTGCAAAACTTAAAGCCTTAATTATATTATATATTATATCATAAATGTCTTAAGCTAAATTAATGTATTAATCTTTTAAGTTTAAGTCTCTACCTTCGAATTTATTTAATATGTTATGGGAATTATATAGCAATAACAATAATAATAATTGTATTAATTATTATTATTATTGTCACAAATCCGGTCCATGGACTTTCATCCAATGAACACAAGAGGTCGCTCTCTCACCATATTGACACTCACTCCACATAGACTGTCACACATCATTCTGGACTACATCTCCCGTGCTCCACTGCACTGATTGCGCACTCACCTGCATCCAATAACTCACACTATATAACACTCACTCTGATCCTGCTCTAGTCGCCGAGTATTGTTT